GAACTAAACACTACTCTGTTGCTTGAAATGTACTAAAAGCAATATGATGAGGAACAAGAAGCAGCAATTGAATGGTTACTTGTATTATTTAGTATTTTTATGCAATTATTATTATTCTAAGTGTATAATTAGTTTTCCTATTTTTATTAGGAGATTAGATCTTTTTTTAGAAGTTTTATTAGTAGTCTTTAGTATTTTTACTTTATTATGAATTTAAGTTCTAGTATGATACAATAGGAATTCTTCCATCAGTAAAAAAAAATTACAATAGGAATTCTAATTTTTGTTAAGATAGAAGTCTTAGCAATACATATGTATGTATATGTTGTAAAGCCTTTCATTATTAAGTGGTCAAGAAAGTATAAAAAATTTTCAATAAGAGTTTTCCTTGAGATTCTGTGAAGCAAACTTGGTTGTGATATGATCTACCGTGACTGTGATGTTGAAGGGTTTCCTATCCTCTTTAGGTGTGATGACTAAAGAACCCTAGGTGTGGCTTCTAGTTTCATTCTATCCTTCTTTTTCTTTACCTATTTTTGCATCCTTTTCATACCAAAAACAACCACTACTTAATGACGAGTGATGCTGAAAGAACCCTAGGAGTGATGTTGAAAGAACCCTAGCTGTGACGCCTAGGTTCGTTCGATCCTTCTCTTTCTTTCCCTTTTTTTTTTCCCTCTTTCTTACCTAAAACAACCACCACCTAATCCCTATTTCATTGTTGATGCTCCAGGCCTATATTACCATAAATTTTCTCTTTTGTCCCTAAGCCCACCCTACCCTCAACTTGTCTTCTACTTGAATAGTTGAAATATGGATTAAGCATGAAAAAGAGGGGGGAAAATGGGAAAAGAAAGAGAATGATGGAACAAACCCAAAGTCACACATGAGTTCTTTAGGCATCATAGGGAATATCCACATTGAAAAAAAAAATGAAGAACAAAACATATGGCTTATATTTCACCTATCACCAATTTGTTTTAAATTGGATGTTTGACTTTGGTCCACATGTCAAATTTTCTTATAATATCAAGGCTCAGATTCCATTCCTGAAAAGTCCAACATCCCACCAGTCTACCACATTGAAAAAACAAGAAAGAAGCATGTGGCATGTGGCTTGGGCTACTACATCTATGACTAATTGATTTTAGATTGGAAGCTAGCCTT